AAAAAAAAAAAAAGAATAGGGGTCCCAGTATGCACACCTTCCGTAAGCCTTGGGGCAGATGGCAATCATAGGGGACAATCAGGAGTCCCCACCTGCCCCACCCTGTCAGTATCTCATCACTGAAGACACACCTTAGAGCCCACCACCAGAAGGCCCTGCTTCACTTCCATGATTATCAACATAACAGTTATGCCCCAACAGTCCTGAGGTGCTATCCCAGCCATAGCCAGTGGAGCTTTCAGACCTGGATCTCCAAGATATCCAGGAAGTCAAGATCAGCAATACTTCCTGGCCCAACTCTCAGTCAGAGCACAAGAAGGCACCACCTTGTCTCCAGCCAGATGTTCTTAAGGTGGGGGTGGGTCAGGACACAAGAGTGCTGAAGAGTCTGCTGAATGTCCTTCCCAAGTGTGGGACAGCTTTATGCTAGAGTCCGGTTTGGAGTTGCCTGCAAGGCAACACAGAAGGGACACCTGGCACATGATGCTCCTGCCATAGGAGCCCTGGGGACTGGTAGCAGCCCAGAACAGGCTGAGCTATACAGTAACTGTGGCCTAGGCATGGGCTAGGCAGTGGAAGGGCAGTGCTTGGTAAGGGAAGCAAAACCACTATGAGACCTGTGGCGAGAGATTCAAGTACAACTCACTGCTGCTGAAGTGAATGAATCAACATAGCCAAGAAGCCCTATGCCTGCCACCAATGCAGCAAGCTCTTCCACAGCTACCCAGGCCTCATGCAGCACCACAGCATCCATATGGGTGAAAAGCCATGCAAGTGTGGCCACTGCACAAGGCCTTCAGCCACAGCCTGTACTTCATGAAGCAACTGTGCATCCACAACAGCGGGTAGCCCTACAAGTACACCAAGTGCCACCAGGCCTTCAACTAGCGCACCAACCTGGTGGGCCACCAGGAGCTGTACATGAGTGAGAAGCTGTACATCTGCAGCCAGTGTGACAAGGCCCTCACCTGGAGCTCCCTGCTCATCAAACACCAGACCATCCCCACAGGTAAGAAGCCCTACAAATGCCACAAGTGTTGCACGCTTTCTGAGGCCCCTTCCACTTTCACCTGCAGTGCATGAGGTAAGGTCTTTGGCCAGAACTCACAAATCATCCAGCTAGAGGATCCACTATGAAGAAGTAGTGGGGGTAGTAGGGCAGGTCTGGCAAGCAACACCAACCTATGTTAAGGCAACAGAGGGAAAGGCTCCTGCCTACACACCCTCCCACGTGGCCATTCAGCTCTGCATGCCAGTGTCCCAATAAGTCCTTCCTGGTTGCTGATGGGGGGAAAAAAGAAATCTTATGGGATCATAGATGTTTATGTGGCCAGACTCTGTCCTATCAGACATTATGAGGCACATACCTGTACTGTTAATCCATTATAATTATAGTTGTTGTTGTTGTTGTTGTGTGCTGTCGAGTCGGACCCGACTCATAGCGATCCCCCCTTGGGTTTCTGAGGCAGTATCACTACGGAAGTAGATCACCCCATCTTCCTTCCAAGGAGTGGCTGGTGGGTTTGAACCACCAGCCTTCTGATTAGCAGTCAAGTGCCTTAGGCACTACGCTACCAGAGCTCCCATAATTATAGTAGCAGCATTATTTTTCTACTACCCCAGATTAAAAATCTGACTCAGCTTTGCTTCCTCCTCAGTTTTTAAGCCAATCAATAAGTCTGGGCCTTCTTTTACCATGTCTTAAAAATCCATCACTTCTTTTCCATTCTTATTGCTATCAATTTTATGTGGGCTTTTGTTACTTCAAGGAGCTCTGGTGGTGCAGTGGTTAAGGCATTTGGCTGCTATCCAAAGAGTTGGTGGTTTGAACAAACCAGCCGCTCCATGGAAGATGAGGCAACCTGCTTCCATAAATATTCACAACCTTGGATACCCAACGGGGGTCACTATGAGTCAGAAACAACTCATGGCAGTGAGTTTGGTTTGGTTTGTTACTTCAGCCCATTTACCCATATTGCTATTAGAATCATCTTAAAGTAGTACTTCAGCCACAACTGAAAAAGAATCTTCTGTGGCTGCCTAATGCCTACTGTGTAACTTCTGATCACTTTCTTCCCCCTGTACATGCCCTGTTCTTGCCTGGTTCCTTAACTTTGCTCCTACCAATCCACCTGCCTAGAACAAGCTTCTACATCTCCAAGGAAAATATGCTTATTCTTCACACTCCAGCTTATTAAAACCCCTGATCACCCCACCTAGAAATGAATGCTTATTCTGAACTCTTCAGGCATCCTGGCCATCACTCATTTACCACATGACACCTGTATGTGCTAACTGGCGTTTATATGGCTCCTACTGGACTATAGAGGAGCTCTGGTAGCATAGTGCCTAAGGCATCTGACTGCTAACCAGAAGGCTGGCGGTTCAAACCCACTAGCCTCTCCTCAGAAAGAAGGTTGGGCAATCTACTTCCGTAGTGATACTGCCTGGGAAATCCAAGGAGGGGTCGCTATGAGTCAGATAGATACAACTCTACGGCAGTGGGTACTAGACTGTAGGATTCCTAATGGCAAAGAGGAAGTCTTAACCATCTCTCCATCCCCAATGAATGGCACAGTGCCAGGCATTCCTCTCATGGTGTTTCCCTTGGCCTATATGAGAAAAGCTATTTCCAGTGACTTTTCACCAGATCTCAAGAACCTCTTACTGCCCTCTGGGTTTCTACTTGAGTGCTCCATTTCAGACCTGCAGCAGAAGCTCCAACGGCAACACCAAGGGCCAAGAACAAGGGGACTCAGCAAAGAAGAAACATGCATACAGACCACCAAAAAACTAAATCCACTGTCGTCCAGATGATTCTGACTGACAGAGACCCTACAGGACAGAGTAGAACTGCCCTATAGGGTTCCCAAAGCTGTAAATCTTTACAGAAGCAGACTGCCACATCTTTTTTAGAGCAGCTGTAGGTTCGAACTGACAACTTTTCGGTTACCAGCCGAGCGCTTAACCAATGTGCCACTATGGCTCCCAGATCTTGGCAACACTCATCCAGTGAGTGTTAAATTGTTGATCAGTAAAGGGCCCAGGCGTGGCAGGCACTGACCTGCTCCAGCAAATAGATAAGCTGGTCTCGTGCTAGTCTCTTGAGCATGGAGAAGTCAGGCAGCTCAGGGGCATCCAGACGATGGGGAAAAGCCATGGCAGCGGTCACCTGGGCTGCGGAATGGAAAAAGGGGGACGCCCTCTTCTCTGAGAGGGCCGGCAGCCGGCCAGGGTAAACGCAGAGACAACCCTTCAGGTCCAGGCACCGAGAATCCTCGGACAGGTCCTCGCTCCTCAGCCACAAACGAGAAATGAATGGTCACCTCCCAGCCAGAAAGCCGCAGCCTCGGGGAACCCTCGTCTCAGATCTGTAGCCACAGTGCCCGGACCTGTCCTTTCTTGGCCCACCCTGCCCGCCAGAAGGATTCCGGTCCACACCTGCATAGATTTATCGCATGAGGGGAGAAGAACCCCGCCTTCTATCAGGGTGGGAAAAGACTTCCGAGAACTGACGGAAGTCCCGTTCATTCGTCTATCTCATAGCGGACCCGGAAGAAGGACGGCGTCTTAGAAGGGACAATTAAAAACAGGCGGCAACCGATCGAATTTTCACGTCATTCCTGGCTGGAGAGTTTTCCTATGATAAAGTTATTATGCCTTAAACTAATGTTTAATCAGACACCTGATTTTCCTAGCTCACGTAAGTGAGGGTTGGGCACTAGCTCAACTTTTAAGAACTTAGGAAAATGGACGAAAGCAACTGAGTCTGGAGGTCACTGATCACAATGTCAAATCTTCTCCACAAATTAGCCACGAACGGCACATAACAACAACAGCAGGTTCTCCCTGGCTGCCAAGGCAGGAAGTTAGCGGCAGGAGGCAAGATGAGTGCAGAGGAAGAGGGGTGGGGCGGGAGAGAGCATTAGAAGATAATAGGAGCTGGGTCTGGCACATTATGATTTTCTATGCTGGAATTTTGGCTCATTAACGCCCGTCTTGGGAGAAAAGAGAAATAAACTGGCCTATCCGTAGTGATGGGAGCTCTGGTAGCGTAGTGCCTAAGGCACTTGACTGTTAACTAGAAGGCTGGCGGTTCAAACCCACCAGCCACTCCTCGGAAGGAAGATGAGGCAATCTACTTCCGTAGTGATACTGCCTCGGAAACCCAAGGAGGGGTCACTATGACTCGGGTTCGACTTGATGGTACATAACAACAACAACAACATCCGTAGTGATAACGCCTTGGAAACCCAAGGAGGCAGGGGTCGCTATGAGTCAGGGCTGACTTGACAGCTCGTAACAACAATTCATACAATAAAAATAACTGAATGGTGAAATAACCAGACACAAGGGTACATACTGTATAATGGCATTTATATAAAGTTCTATAACAGAAAAAAACTAATCTGAAAAAAAAGAAAACTGATTAACCTTTGGGGTCATGAATTTACTGGGTTGGGAAATGAGGAAGCTTTCTGGGAGTGATGGCAACGATCTGTATCTGCTTTGTTTAAAAAGAAAAAAAGAGCTTATGAGAGGCATAATAGATGGATCAGAAAGATAATGTGTGAATTTACTGATTAAGTTTAACATCATATCATCTGATGGGAGCTCTGGTAGTGTAGTGGCTAAGGCACTTGACTGCTTAACCAGAAGCCTGGCGGTTCAAACCCACCAGCCACTCCTTGGAAGGAAGATGAGGCAATCTACTTCCGTAGTGATACTGACTTGGAAACCCAAGGAGGGGTCGTTATGAGTCAGGTCCGACTCAAGGGCACATAACAACAACAACATCTGATGGATGCATAGAAAATACAGAACATCACCCATTGCCAAAAATGAACCTGATCAAGCCTCAAGGTCTATTAGTTTATAGAAATATGGATGATAGATAGTAGGAACATGTTAAAAGACTACACAGGAATGAAATTGCCAAACCCAAAATGTAGGACAAATGATTTTCTCAAAAAAATAAATGGAAAGGAGAAAAAAAAAAGTGTGATGGAAAGCCACTGTAGAAACAAGAAACTTAGGAACATATCAGTGAAATTGCAATTTATGGACCTTGTTTGGATTCTAATTCAAAGAAATCCACTGTAAAAGACTTATATGAAACAATCTGAGAACACTATCTGAATAATAGCTGATATTAAAGAATTACTAAACAGTTTATAGTATAATAATGGCTTGCATGTCTGTTAAAAAGGAATTTATTTTTCTGCCCCCACAGGGAAGAGGTAACCATGGGGAAGAAGTGGGAGAGGAGCTGCGGCGTGGGGGGTGGGAAATTGCAGTAAATGTCATGAGACAAGTGCGTGCGAGCTGCTGGATGGAAAGTGAATTTGCTCTGCAAAGCTTTCACCCAAATCACAATTAAAAAAAAAAAAAAA